TTAAAATCTTTTACAGATTTTGCGTGTGTATTGAACATGCCATCTTAAGACAGTAATTCCAGCCTGAGATGTCTCAGGAGCGCTAAAGTTACCTATCCTATGATGTCCATTCTTTATATATGGTGTGGAATGGAGTGAGGGAACAGCAAATGTGGACTGAATGTGAAGAAAAGGCAATAGCAGTGAGCAGATAGGTGTTATCAACATTTTTCATATCTCCATCGAAATTATTTACAAAAAAAACCTCTGCTGGTTCCAGCACTTTGGAAACATCATGTTAGTGCACTTCAAATCCCTACTTGATGAGAAACGGTAGAAAGACATGAAGCATGAAAGCATCCTACACATTTTGAGCATCCTCAAAAGACCATCTGTTTTAATTTCCAAAAAAATTTAATGGCTGGCTAGCCCACAGAAATCAATAAAATCCTCTTTACTTGCAATATAAATTTAAAATCCAATATGAAGGTACTTCATTATATGAACATTTTATTATCTAGATTTTACAACCGAATAGAATGCATACATTTGGAAAGTAAACGGGGCAACTTATCTCAGTTATTTTATTGTCTTTCTCGATTGCCTGCATTTTCTGATGTATCATAAAAAACCCCACCATCATTCTGTTGTTTTCTACTGTTTCAAGGAAAACTGAACTTTATCTTTCTATTAGCACTCTAGGAAGAGCTGGTTCTTGGGCAAAACTTCTCTGAAGTCAGTGGAATATCATCTGGCCTATAGATGACATGCTGAAAGAAAGGGTCAAGGGAATATAAGAAAAAATATGTAATGACTCAAAAATGCACAAGGGAAAAGGGGATTGCAAAATGACAGATTAAAGGACATCCAACATCTGTGCCTGTATAGTCAAAACAGATTGTTTCCCTTCTCCCTTTCGATCAGTCGTGATCATTTATGCTTCCATTTTCTTTTAAAATCTGTTCTTGGTATTTGTGAAGCTGCTCCATGAAGCCAGGATTTGGACAAGCCGCAGGCCTCGCATTTTTCACCAAGGAAAAGGCTCTGGCAAAACTCAGTCTTTCCGAATTCATTAGAAAACCAATGACTACCGCCGCTGCACGGGAGACTCCTGCATTGCAGTGGACCAGTACCACGCCACCCTTCAAAGAAGAAATTAAACATAAGGTGGGATATTCGTTAGGCAGATAAAAACAAGTATGTAGAAACTTTACATAAAAATCTATTAAGACTTACTGAAAGCTCCTTGCTGAGCTCAAAGCAAATATTTATACACGTAAGTAAGTCCAAACACAGATATATAAGCCCAAAATTAAATATTTTTCTAATCAAAGCCACTTTATAATTACCAAATACTTCAAATTTAATTCCTCACTTAAAACTAAAAAATATCCCTCTGTCCTTTTCCCCGAGTCCTTACAGGAGCCCCGTCATGTAAAAACCAAAATCATAGACTCCCAGGATACTAAGATATCCCATCTAACTGGGTGCCAATTTTAAAATGGATTTTATTTGCAATATGGAAAGGAACTTGACAGTATCTTGTTAAAGGTTAAAACCAGCAAGGCAGCAAACAGCTGGGCACAGAGGCAGATTTTGGAATATCTTGTAGTTCCAGTCACACGCTTCTTTAAAGAGACACTGCAAGTTTCGTTAAGAAGTAACGAGCACGAATTAATGCAAAGACAGCCAGACAGTCTAGTGTGGCTCAGGCAATGTTTGTAAGGCCCAGCTTCATAACAGTCATGTTTGTACATCAGATTACACCCTGGAAGAGGCTCCAAACTGTCTGCCAGATGCCACTGCGACACAAAAACACACCACCAAACCCACAGCACCTCCATATTCTGAATGAAGATACTGAAACACGACATGATTTGCTCAGATACTTGAGAACTAAGCATATCCATTCTAGATATAAACAGCCTGCTCTGTTGGCCCTTAACAGGCACAAATTATTTAAGGAGCATTTTAGCCAGTGACAGAAAGACCAGTGAGTGACAAAAAGCACTGAGGTTCCTTTCCAGGAACTCGATGGTTTATGTTACAGAATTGGGAGCTGCAAATTATCTGGTCTATTAATAAACACACAAGAGCAGAAAATGGTTCCTGCTCCAGAAATCTCCCAGTTTAAGTAAAAAGACAAAGCAGGAAATTGAGTATTATTATTCATGTTGGAGAAATGCCAAGCTGAGACTAGAAGAATGACTTGCACAACAAGATTATGGCAGAGCTAGGCACTGAGTCTAAGCTCCTGCATCCCAATGAATCACAATATCATCCTTTCTTGCAATGGAAATCACATTCCCTGTGCACTGCCTGCTGCAAATTGCACTCTTCATTCCCTTTCTCACAGTCACAGGGCCGTGATTCCTCATCACACAGACCATGGCAGAGTGGGAAGCAGACCTGTCCATGTATTTCAACTACCTGAGGGAGTGTCAGTGGTGACCTGTAAATCCAGAACGATGACATTAAAAATTATGCCACTGCTAATGAATCAATTGCTGAAGCTTATCTACTGTAAATGTGGAGCAGTTTTTACTGCTTTAATGGGAGTTATTTCAGACATAATGCACCATAATCAAGATCAATATCTAGCAGTGGCACTAAGAGTAAATAATACACATGGGAAGTGACCTTTGCTTTTTTTCCCTTCGTACAGTTCATGCTTTGTTTTCCTCTTTCACATATAAGTTTGATTTGGGTTTTTTTAATAACTGTTCTGTTTTACATTGTCAAAAATTATTTAGTGATACCCATGGATCCTGAAAATTACTGAACATCAATGAACACGGGCAATAACATTAAACCAAATTTAACACTGAGAACTTTTATCTCTCCTTTTTAAACCCACTTGTTTACAATTCATACAAAGATTAATTTGACATGTCATTCTTGACTAGTTTTGTATTAGCTATGAATATGAAATAAAGTGAGAAACAGATTGCAGATAGGAAATTCATCTCTGTTTACCAGGAACTCCTTGCTCTGACTCTGGTAACCTTTGCCTACCAAGAAATGGTCTGTGGTCTTGCAAAACATCTTTTAAAGATTCAAGACCAAGTTGGTTTTTTTTTTAATTTTTTTATAGAAAGGGAAATGAAATCACCTTCCACCGACAGAAAAAGTGATTATACAATGGCTATGTACAGTGGGCAAAAGAAATTAAAAAGAAGCATAAAACTTTAAGCTAATGTAGTCAGTTATGAATCCATTCTACTTTGGAGTGGAACCAAGTATTTTTCGTCAGGAAAGACAGAAGGAGCAATAAGGAGAGATGTTCATGAATAAACAGAGATTTCCTCCTTGGAAACAAAAGATTTTAGAGGTTTTATTATTCAATATTAAACAGAAATATGAAAGAGCAGTAGCACTATGGCCTGACATGTGTCACCTAACATGTCATGGAAAACCTGCCTGCCAATTTGGAGCTTAGAAGAAAAGGTGAGCTCTGATGGGTATCAGAATTTGTACCATGGTGTTGACAGACTTGAGCCATTAGAGTTTCAGAAAAGTTGATCCAGTTCCGAGTAGCAGCTGGCAATGACTTGAGGAACAGTGCAGGCTTCCCTTGCATCCTCAAACTGGAGTGCTCTCCTGCTCTCTCATTGAGTTAATCACGCTCTAACAATAATTTCTCATATATCACACTCTCTCACCAGTGAACTTCTCTCCTTCCCTCACATTAGGAGATGAAGCACTCGTATCTCTGTGACTGCTTGAACAGAAGAGCACTTCACAACACAGTTTATCATAAGCCCTTTTAACCCTATTTTGACAAAGCAAATAAAGTGATTCAAGCCACCCAGAGATCTGTCTCTGCATACCACTATCACATGCTTTGTCAACTGATCCTGGAGAACAACTATTCCACCAATTACCTGCTCTTTCACCCACCTCTCCCATTAGAAAACTGTTAATATCGCTGTAAAAGTTTTCCTGAAAACTTCTTAGCTTACAAAATGGTAACCAGGACATAAACACCAGAGGCAGAAAGCAAAACTGTGCAGTTATGAATGGCAACTCCCATTTAGAAATGAAGTGGAAACCGTAACTAGATACCTTGAAAAGGTCATTAAGTGACAATGTGTATCACATAGCTCGTAAATGATAAATGAGAGAAGGAAAGAACACTGCAACACAAAGAAAGCTGGGGCAAGATTATCTTCTTTTATCCCAACCTACATGAATAATCAATTTGGTAGATATGGTGGAATAACATGCAATAAGGTTTGGTTGTCAAGTCATGGTTTTCCCACCAAAGCAGTGGTTGTTGTAAATTACACAATAAGCCTGAATTTAACAGCTGTGAGTCAGGGCTGCTCCTGGTTACAGACAACTCTGCCAAACAACCCCAGAAAGAGTCCCTTCAGCCCATTTCCCATGTCACATTTTCTTCAGGATTTTGGGAGCAGTTAAATTACTTGTTGGCTCCAAGACTACTAACACATGCTCTGACATCCTTGGTACATATGTGGATTCCTAGCTCAGCGTGTGGCATCTTCTTTGAGAACCTGGTCTAGTGGGAGGTGTCACTGCCTGTAGCAGGGGGTTGGAATTACATGATCTCTAAGGTCACTTCCACCACAAATTATTCTATGATTCTATGATGAAAAGTTCAAGGATGGTGACCAGCTGATGCCAAACCACACAGATCTGTAAAAGCCCCGTTAGGCTTGCTTCTAATCCGAAACAACATCCCTGACAGATAAGTAAGTTTTCTCCTTTTCCCTCTGCCAGGGGTAGTGACTTAGGATGGGATTTCTTTATCTAAAGTAAGCCACTGCTCCATCTGTATTAAAGAAGCATTTCTCTAAAACTCAAGACAGACATTCTGAAAAAAACATTGCTGGAGGGAATGGAGATTAACAGCAGGGTCACGTTTCTAGGAATGCTTAGAAATTGCCTGGATTCTCTATTTAAAATTCTAAATGGCAATGGCAAAGCTATTAATTTGGTAGCATATTTTCTTTTGACAAAAGAAGCTGCTTTAGTTCTTAAAATAGTGTAATAAATAATGTAAACAAGATAACTACTAACATCAATTATTGATATACCATACCTGGATCTTGGCTTTCTCAATAAACTCAAAACATTCAGGGAAGTAGGAGGTAATATCAGTTTCTGGGAGGTCCAGAATAGAAATGGTCTTGTATATAAAATCATCGAGGAAGGCATTTTGGACTCCATATGCCACATTTAGAATGTGAGTAACCTAAATAAAAAAAAAAAAAAAAAGGAAAAAAAAATGAAAAAAGCATTTTCTGAAGACAGCAAGCAAAATGAGCAGTGGCAAGGGTTAATTATTCTTTAGGAATACACAAACTGTATCTTACACAGCTGGAATGTTCAGTTTTACATACATATGCTGTCTGTGGTGTGATTTTCTCCAAGCAAAGTTTCAACGTGTGCTAAAACATACTGTGAGAAATTTCAGGGTTTTCTGAGAGGAAATGAAAAATCAGTGCTCAAACAAACACAGGCTAAAATACGGATTTTCAACAGAAAAGGGAGCTGTCAGCACGTAGATGGCAAATAAAAGAGGAAGCAATAGGAACAAGAGCACAGGACACCCAACAATTCCCCAAATTTCAAGCCTACCCTAACCCATCAGTTTAATGTTCCTTCTGGTGAGTTACTAGAACCATTTACTGGAGCAGAAGGATTTCAGAGTAAACCATACCTGCCCTTGGCAGGCGAGACCACCTCTGGCCTCCTGCCATCTCTGCTTTGTCCAGGCTACAGCCACTTGGTGGGTTTTTAAACTTACAGTGAAGTGACATTTAGATAGCACCAGATCCCAGCCTGGTGCACTCCCTGTCCTGCAGGAGCACCACTGTCCGAAGGCCTTATCACCCCATTACTGTAACAGAGAAGAGTAAAGAGACCAAAGTTTGGGACAGATTTTGAGCTTTGTTTTTCCAGTTTCATCAGTACCCGTAAGGCAAGGAGGGATGGTGCTGCTTAGTGTCTGAAATGTAAACACACATAGCAATGCAGGAATCTGTTCCATGAACAGCTCTAAACAATCATCACTT